TCCCCTTAAAGATGTATCTGTTCCTACTTACAAACAAATACAAACTTACAGAACCAATTTCAACAGAAAAGAGAAAACCATGAAAATACTCAGAAAACAGGGGAATTCCAGACAGGAAACAATCAAGGCCAGCTAACACCTCCCAACAAAGGATCCCCAAGGCAGGGAGCAACCAGGCTTTGAAGCTGCAAGGCCATCCAATGCTAATAAAAGTGGCCAATTGCAACATTCACACTTGCCTCCAACAGACAAGAGTCCTTTCTCCCACCCTGGACATTCCACCGATCTATAAACCTCACTTGCCTAGTTTCCAACTGACCTCACAACCTCTGAGGATGCCTGCCATAGATGTGAGCGAAACGTCAGGAGAGAATACTTCTGGAACATGGCCATACAGCCCAGAAAACTCACAGCAACCCAGAACCTATCTTGTTTGTAACGTGGGGACTGCCTGTAGTTGTAATTTGTTTTTTTTTTTCCGTGTCAGGAGCGACTTGAGAAACTTGAAGTCGCTTCTAGTGTGAGAAAACTGGCTAACTGCAAGGACGTTGCTCAGGGGACGCCCAGATGTTTTAATGTTTTATCATCCTTGTGGGAAGCTTCTCTCATGTCCCCGCATGGGGACCTGGAGCTGACAGAGGGAGCTCATCCGTGCTCTCCCCGGATTCGAACCTGCGACCTGTCGGTCTTCAGTCCTTTCGGCACAAGGGTTTAACCCACTGTGCCATTGGGGGCTCCAATTTGATAAAGTCCCAAGTCACTTTGGCAGGAAGACTAAAGACCTTGTAAAACTATAGCTCCCATGGTTGCATAGCATTGAGCCACGGCAGTTAAAGTGGTGACAAACTGCATTAATTCAACAATGTTAATGCACCCTAAAACAAGCCAAAGACAGTCGGTCACGTCTTGGAAAGTTGGCTCAAAACTTACGACGACACAACACAGATGTCTTGGTAGCCAAAGAGAAAGGGGGAAAGAAGCCACTTTGCACATGTTCAGAGGCACTATTAGCCTCCCTTCAAGAAAAGTTTCACCTTCTGGCATCATGAAACTTGAGAGAAGGAGGGCACTCCTTTCCTCCCCCTTTCCCCTACTAGTGCATCTCCAGTATAGAATTAATGCAGTTTTGCACCACTTTAACTGCCATAGCTCGACACTACGGAATACTGGGATTTGTAGTTTTGGTGAGAAACCAATAGTCTTTGTCAGAGAAGCCTCCAAACATTGTCACACTTTAAGTAGCTGGGCTTGGCCTCATGTAAGCCACCTCAAGTTCCCTTTGTGGAGATGGTGGCAGGGTATAAATAAAGATTTATTATTATTATTCCACACTAGTGAGCCATGGTACTTCAAGTGGGTCCAAACAAGCGTAGTTAACTTGCATTCTAGACATCCAAAGAAAAGGACAAAGTATACATCTAGACTGTAGATTCAATTAATGCAGTTTGGCTCCACTTAAACTGCCACTGCTCAATAGTATAGAATCATAGGATCTGTAGTTTGGCGAAGAACCATCACTGTTTGACAGAGAAGGCTAAAAACCTTGTCAAACTACAACTCCAATGGATCCACGACACTGAGCTGTGACAGTTCAAAGTGTGGTCAGAGGACATTTATTCTACAGCGCAGATGTGCCCTCAATGCTATACAATCTTGGGAGTTGTAGTTTTACAAGGCTTTTAGGTCCCAATATAAATCCAGATTATCTACTTTGAACTGGAATATATTGCAGTGTAGACTCATACAATCTAGTTCAAAGCAGATAATGTGAAGACCGACAGGTCGCAGGTTCGAATCCGGGGAGAGGCGGATGAGCTCCCTCTATCAGCTCCAGCTCCTCATATGGGGACATGAGAGAAGCCTCCCACAAGGATGATAAAAACATCAAATCATCCGGGCGTCCCCTGGGCAACGTCCTTGCAGACGGCCAATTATCTCACACCAGAAGCGACTTGCAGTTTCTCAAATTGCTCCTAACACGACAAAAAAAATTCTGTTTTAATAATCTGGATTATATGGCAGTGTAGAAGGGGCCTTAGCCTCTCGGCCAAATAGTGCTGATACGTCACCAAACTACAGATCCCATGACTCCATAGCATTGGGGCGTGGCAGTTCAAGTGGGGTCAAGCTGCACTAATCCTACAGTATAGCTACGCCCTTAAAGGAAGGAAGGAGGCATAAGGAAATGAAACTTTGGGGTGAAGCTCAGAACAGGACTTGGGAAAGAGATTATCTATAGGCACCAAACTAAGGGCCCTTCCACACAGCCATATAACCCATAACAGGGAAACTGCCATAGCTGGGATCTCTAGTTTGGTGAGGCACCTGTACTCTTTGGCAGAGAAGGGTACAGATCTCGTATTCCATACCATTGAGCCCTGGCTGGTCAAAGAGCTGTCGAACAGGATTCATTCTACAGTGGAGAATGAATGCCTTGATGCTATGTAATCATGGGAATTGTAGTTTTATCAGGTCTTTAGCCTTCTTGGTCAAAGGGTGTGGGTGCCTCACCAAACTATAGACGCCATGATCCATACTATTGAGCCCTAGCAGTTCAGGGTGATGACAAACTGCACTCATTGTACAGTATAAATATCCCTTGGGAAACTACAATTCCCAGGATTTCATAAGACTGAGCCATGGCAGTTCAAGGAGATGAGGGACTGTATTTATTCTACAGTATAGGGGTATCTGTAGTGTAGACGGCTAAAGACAATGGAAAACTACAACTCCCAACACTGAGACAGGGCAGCTCAAAGTGGTTTCAATCTGCAATCATTCTACTGTATAGATACCCCTATAGAAGGATATATTTATTTATTTTTGGTCGTGTCAGGAGCGACTTGAGAAACTGCAAGCCGCTTCTGGTGTGAGAGAATTGGCCGTCTGCAAGGACGTTGCCCAGGGGACACCTGGATGATTTGATGTTTTAATCATCCTTGTGGGAGGCTTCTCTCATGTTTCCGCATGAGGAGCTGGAGCTGATAGAGGGAGCTCATCTGCCTCTCCCCGGATTCAAACCTGCAACCTGTTGGTCTTCAGTCCTTCAGGCACAGGGGTTTAACCCACTGTGCCACCAGAAGGATGAAGACCTTGGAAAACTGCAACTCCCAACACTGAGCCATGGCTGCTCAAAATGATATCAAACTGCATTCATTCTACAGTACAGATATACCTATATACCTTGGAGAACTACAACTCCCAGGATTCCATAACACTGAGCCCTAGAACCTGCAAGGAGTGTGGAATTGCATTCACTCCAAAGTATAGATATCCCTATAGAAGGCTAAAGACCTTGGAAAACTACAACTCCCAACCCTGAGCCATGGCAGGTCAAAGTGGCATCAAACTGCATTCACTCTACAGTACAGTTACCCCTATAGAAAGCCAAAGACCTTGGAGAACTACAGCTCCCGGGATTCCATGACAATGGCAGTTGAAAGTGGTATCAAACTGCATTCATTCTATAATACAGATACCACTATGAAAAGGCTAAAGTGCTTGGAAAACTATAACTCACAACCCTGAGCCATGGCAGCTCAAAGTGGTATCAAACTGCATTCTTTCCGTAGTACAAATGCCGCTATTGAGGGCTAAAGAACTTGGAAAACTACAACTCCTAGCACTGTGCCCTGGTAGCATAATGTAATACCGAATTGTATTCATTCTACAGTACTGCTACCCCACCCCAGTAGAAGGATAAAGACCTTGGAAAACCACAGTTCCCAACACTGAGCCATGTCAGCTCAAAGTGGTATCAAACTGCATTCTTTCCACAGTACAGATACCCTTACATAAGGCTAAGGTCCTTGGAAAACTACAACTCCCAACTCTGAGCCATGTAAGCTCAAAGTGGTATCAAACTGCATTCACCTCAAAAAAAGGCAACAGTCCTTGGAGAACTACAACTCTCAACCCTGAGACATGGTAGCTCAAAGTGGTATCAAACTGCATTCATTCTTATAGTACAGATGCCCCTATAAAAGGCCAAAGGCCTTGGAAAACTACAACTCCCAACCCTGAGTCATGGAAGATCAAATTGGTATCAAACTGCATTCATCCTACAGTACAGCAGGCTAAAGTCCTTGGGAAACTACAACTCCCAGCACTGTGCCATGGCAGCTCAAATTGGTATCAAACTGCATTCATCCTACAGTACAGCAGGCTAAAGCCCTTGGGAAACTACAACTCCCAGCACCGAGCCATGGCAGCTCAAAGTGGCATGAAACTGCATTCATTCTATAGTACAGCAGGGTAAAGTCCTTGGGAAACTACAATTTCCAGCACTGAGCCATGGCAGCTCAAAGTAGTATGAAACTGCATTCATCCTACAGTACAGCAGGCTAAAGTCCTTGCGAAACTACAAACTCCCAACCCTGGGCCATGGCAGCTTAATGTGGTATCAAACTGCATTCATCCTACAGTACAGCAGGCTAAAGCCCTTGGGAAACTGCAACTCCTAACAGAGCCATGGCAGCAAAAAGTGGTATATCAAGCCGCATTCACCCCTACAGAAGGCTACAATCCTTGGGAAACTGCAACTCCCAACCAGGAGCCATGGTAGCTCAAAGTGGTAGCAAACTGAATTCAGATGGAAACAGTCCTTGGGAAACTACAAACTCCCAACAATGTGCCACGGAAGCTCAAAATGGTATCAAACTACATTCATCCTACAGTACAGCAGGCTACAGTCCTTGGGAAACTACAACTCCCAGCACTGAGCCATGGCAGCTCAAAGTGGTAAACTGTATTCAGAAGGATGCAGTCCTTGGAAAACTACAAACTCCCAACACGGAGCCATGGCAGCTCAAAGCGGTATATCAACCCGCATTCATTCTTACAGGATAGATCCCCCTCTAGAAGGCGAAAGACCTTGGAGAACTACAGCTCCCAACCCCGAGGCATGGCGGCTGAGAGGGGGGTGTCACGCCGGGCGGGAGGGAGGGAGGGAGGGAGTCTTCCACGTCGCCGGGGCGTGGAGCGAGCGAGCGAGGGCTCACCTGAAGTAGTAGACATCGCTCTTTCCGGCGCTGAGGCCGGACTTGCGGATGACCTCCTCCTTCTTCCAGCCGGGAGGCAGCGCCGGGCAGTCCATCCTCTTGCCCCGCTTCTCCATCCGCGGCGGGGCCGGAGGCGGGCCGGAGCCAGGCCTGGCCACGCCGGGGGAAGAGGAGCAGGGGAAGGCGGGAGCCCGTCGGGGCGGCTGTCCAGCAACACCCCTCCTCCTCCTGCTTCTTCCTCCTTCTCCTCCTCCTCCTGCGTTCCCTTCCTCCGTCGTCTTCCTCCTCCTCCTCCTCCTCTTCTCCACCAACACCGGTGTTTCCAGCCCCGGAGGAGAAGGAGAAGCAGCAGCAGCAACCCCGGCGCCTCCGCCGCCTCCTCCTCCTCCTGCTCTTGCTGCTGCTGCTGCTGCTGCTGCTTCCGTAACTGAGCCTCGGAATCCGTGTCATCGGCGCTCGGAACCTCGGGGTCATAGAGCCCGCGCCGCGCACTGAGGAAAAGGAGGAGGAGGAGGAGGAGAGAGAGAGGCAAAAGAGGCCGGGCCCGGCGTCGCCCTTTAAGGCCGGCTCCTCCTCCAACGCCGGCTCTTCCCGGTTGAAGCCTCCTCGGGAAAATAAAAGAAGAGAGAGAAGGAGCGCACAAAGCTGAGCGGTACGCTCCTTCGGCAGCGCTGTTTACGCAAGAGAGACTTAGCTAAGGCAAACCAAGCCGGAGACAGAGAATACAGAAGGAATGGAAAGAGTTCTTTCTTGGTGAAACCCTTAGGTAAAGGTAAAGGGAAAGGTTTTCCCCTGGCATTAAGTCCAGTATCCAACTCTGGGGGGTGGTGCTCATCTCCATTTCTAAGCCGAAAAGCCGGCGTTGTCCGTAGACACCTTCAAGATCATGTGGCCAGCATGACTGCATAGAGCACTGTTATCTTCCCACCGGAGCGGTACCTTGGCCAGCATGACTGCATGGAGCATCGTTACCTTCCCACCTATTGATCTACTCACATTTGCATGTTTTTGAACTGCTAGTTTGGCAGAAGCTGGGGCTAACAGTGGAAGCTCACGCCACTCTCCAGATTTGAACCACCGACCTTTAGATCAACAGGCTCAACAGCGCAGCGGTTTAACCCACTGCGCCACCGGGGTCTCCTGAAATCCTAACGCTGAACTGTACCGTAAGCTTATGCCTAACCCCTTACCCAAACCCTAACACAAACCCTAACCTCTTACCCAAGCGCGAACACTAACGCAAACCCTTACCCTGAACCATACCGTAAGCCTAAGCCTAACCCCTTACCCAAACCCTAACCCAAACCTTTACCCAGAACCGTACCGTAAGCCTAAACTTAACCCCTAACCCTAACCCTTAGCCTAACCCTAACCCAAAACCTTACCCTACCCTAGCCCTTACGCTAACCCAAACCCTAAACCTTACCCTAACCGTACCCCTAAACCTTACCCTACGCTAACCCTTACACTAACCCAAACCCTAAACCTTACTCTAACCATAATCCTAAACCTTACCCTACGCTAACCCTAACCCTTACCCTACCCCTAACCCAAAACCTTACCCTACCCTAACCCTTACACTAACCCAAACCCTAAACCTTACCCTTACACTAACTCAAACCGTATCATACTATCACCGTAGGAGTGATGCAGCGTCCCCGTAATGTTCACAGCTTCTGGATCCAGCTATCGTACTATCACCGTAGGAGCGATACGGCATCTCCGTAATGCTCGCAGCTTCCGGACCCAGCTATCATACTATCACCGTAGATGTGATGCGGCATCTCCATAACGCTCGAAGCTTCCGGACCCAGCTATCATACTATCACCGTAGGAGCAATGCAGCATCTCCATAATGCTCGCAGCTTCCAGACCCAGCTATCATACTATCACCGTAGGAGCGATGCAGCATCTCCGTAACACTCGGAGCTTCCGGACCCAGCTATTTTACTATCACCGTAGGAGTGATGTGACGTCTCTGTAACAGTCGGAGTTCCAGACAAAGCTATCGTACTATCACCATAGGAGTGATGCAGTGTCTCCGTAATGCTTGCAGCTTCCAGACCCAGATATCGTACTATCACCGTAGGAGCGACGTGGCGTCTCCGTAACGTTCGCAGCTTCTGGATCCAGCTATCGTACTATCACCGTAGGAGCAACGCGGCATCTCTGTAATGCTCGCAGCTTCCGGACCCAACTATCATACTACCACCGTAGGAGCAATGCGGCATCTCCATAACGGAGCTTCCGGACCCAGCTATTGTACTATCACCGTAGAAGCAATGCGGCGTCTCCGTAATGCTTGGAGCCTCCGGACCCAGCTCTCATACTATCACCGTATGATAGCTGGGTCCGGAAGCCCTGAGCGTTACATAGATGCCGCAAAGGCGGCTGTGAATAAGGAAGAGAGGGGGCAGAGTGAGAGCGGGGGAGAGCGAAGGAAGGATAGAAAGAAGGGGATGCTTAGGATAAGGGATAGGACAAGGTTTAGGGTTTGGGTTAGGGTTACGGTTAGGGTAAGGGTTACGAGTTACGGTTAGGTTATGGTAGGGTAAGGGTTAGGGTAAGGTTTAGGGTTTGTGTTAGTGTAAGGGTTTGGGTAAGGGGTTAGGCTTAAGCTTATGGTACAGTTCAGCGTTAGGGTAAGGGTTTCACCATTAAAGAACTCTTACATTCCTTCTATATTATCTGTCTCCGGCCTGGCTTACATTAGCTAAGTCTCTCTTGAGCAAACAGCACTCTTGTAGGAGCATCTCCGTCACGCTCAGAGCTTCCGGACCCAGCTATCATACTATTACCCGGTTAGGGTACGGTTTAGGGTTAGGGTCTCTCTGTATGTCAGAAATAACTTGCAAAGTTACCAAACAAATGCAAACCCAGCTTTAAAAAAAAAAAAGCTTTACGTATGAATTATTTTGTGTGTCTTGCTCTGCAATGCTGGAAATCTGCAAAAAATCCACTTTGAGGGATGAAATTCTTACCAGTGGAGCAATGCTTGCCCTTCGGCTGCCCGGCATCCTCATACCCAAACACACTTTTCTAGCCATTCTTTTCTAGTTTAAAGGATTGTGCTGTGACCATTATCTTTTTGCTTTATTACCCCAGGAATAAACTTTTTAAAAAAGTCACCTCTTCAGCTGTAGTTCAGCAGTTCTTTGTAATCTGTGAACGGAATTTCCCAGCTGTTCTGGAAATCACATTCTGCCTGTTTATATGAATGAACTAATCAATGCAGTATATCATCCAAAGTTCTGGAACTACCGAGCATGGGAGAAGGAACCGAAAACGAACACATTCAAGGAAGTTAGCAAAGAGTTGCCTTTAATGTGTTGTTGAAGGCTTTCATGGCTGGAATCACTGGGTTGCTGTGAGTTTTCCGAGCTGTATGGCCATGTTCCAGAAGCATTCTCTCCTGATGTTTCGCCAACATCTATGGCAGGCATCCCCAGAGGTTGTGAGGTCTGTTGGAAACTAGCCAAATCGAGTTTATATATCTCCAGGGTGGGAGAAAGACCTCTTATCTGTTGGAGACAAGTATGAATGCTGCAACTGATAACCTTGATTAGCATTGAATAGGCTTGCAGCTTCAAAGTTTGGCTACTTCCTGTCTAGGAGAATCCTTTGTTCGGAGGTGGTAGCTGGCCCTGATTATTTCTTGTCTGGATTTCCCGTGTTTTTGAGTGCTGTTCCTTATTGACTATCCTGATTTTTTTTTTTTAGTTTTTTAATATTGGTAGCCAGATTTTTTTTGTTCATTTTGCTTCCTGCCAAGCTTTGAAGCTGCAAAGCTATTCAGTGCTAAACAAGGTGATCAATTGCTACATTCACACTTGACTCAAGCAGACAAGAGTTCCTTCTCCCACCCTGGACATTCCTCAGATACATAAACCCCACTTACCTAGTCTCCAACAAATCTCACAACCTCTGAGGATGCCTGCCATAGATGTAGGCGAAGCGTCAGGAGACAATGCTTCTGGAATATGGCCATACAGTCTGGAAAGCTCACAGCAACCCAGTTGTCTTTAAGTTTCATTTTAGGTGTGTTTTAAAACTTTTGTGTCCATGCTCTTAATGTAAGTATAATGTTTTAAATAAAAAAATAGTTGTGGGAAATGACAAGAAAATGGATATAGGTAAGTATGACACTCGTATCCACAGCATTTGCATTGGATGCACACACAAAAAAGGAAAACAATAAAGCCAATTTAAGGAAAGGACTTCTGACCCAAGAATACAGTCATACCAGAGGATTTATAAAATGCCTGGAGAGAACATACTTTATTGAATGTGGATAAATAAAACTGCTTGTATCTGCTCCATGGGTGCAAGGGTTGTACTATGTATCTTTATGATGTTAACACTTCATTAAATGTCAAAGGCTTTCATAGTAGAAATCACTGGTTTGCTATGAGTTTTCCTGGCTGTATGGCCATGTTCCAGGATCATTCTCTCCTGATGTTTCGCCCACATCTATGGCAGGCACTCTCAGAGGTTTTGAGGTTTGTTGGAAACTAGGCAAGTGAGGTTTATATATCTGTGGAATAATGTCCAGGGTGGGAGAAAGAACTCTTGTCTGCTTGAGGCAAGTGTGAATGTTGCAATTGATCCTCAGAGGTTGCCTCGCTACCATGGCTCACAACCTCTGAGAATGCCTGCCATAGATGTGGTGAAACATCAGGAGAGAATGCTTCTGGAACATGACCATGCAGCCCAGAAAACTCACAGCAAACCAGTTCATTAAATGTTGATAGTTGAAAACTTTCGGTTTCTGTTTTTTCCTGAGAGTGTCATAAAGGCAAAGTCCATGTTTGCCAAAGGCATAGCTTGAAACTCCATGGCTTCCCCTTCTCCAAAAACTCAAATTCCTAAGAAAGCCACATAGCAGAAGTACAACAGAAAGAAGGATAGGGACTCAGATATTTTAGAAAGTTACTAACTATAGATTGTAGCCTATGGACCACAGTTCCCAGAATTCCCTCTGGCCAGAGTGTCTACTCTGAGAATTCTGGGAGATGTAGTCCATAGGCCCAGAGCACTGTGGCATACTATAAAGACTGGGGTGGAAATCATGCAGTCCTCCAGAGACTGCTCTCCAAGTCATTACTCACTAGTGGCTATGTTTGTCAAAGAGACTGGAAGTGCATCTACACTGCTGAATGATCCAACGCTTTCGCTTATCCAATGTTTTGCCTGTCTGTTTATGTTGGATAAGCGAGACTCTACTGTATCCTATTTAACCCAACACCAACTGCTAGGCATGACCCCAACCACCATCAACGATGGGATATTGCAAGGCCTTGTAAAACTACCACTCCCACAATTCCATAGCATTGAGCCATGGCAGCTAAGGTGTTGTCAAATTGCATTAATTCTACAGTGTAGATCAGGACCCCTGGGGGGAGTCGTGATGGGGGTTTCAGAGGGGTAACCAAAGACCATCGAAAACACATATTTCTGATAGTCTTAGGAACCCCTTTGGCAGAGATGGCTGAAGATCTCTCCACCTGTCTTTCTCTTCCTTTTTGGAATCATACGACAAATCCTCCCATCAAAAGCCCTTCTCCTGCTATGATTGTGGGGAAACTATAAATCCCAGCAACTACAACTCCCAAATGTCAAGGTCTATTTTCCACAAACTCCACCAGTGTTCACATTTGGGCATACTGAGTATTTGTGCCAAGTTTGGTCCAGATCCATCATTGTTTGAGTCTACAGTGCTCTCTGGATGTAGGTGAACTACAACTCCAAAATTCAGGGTCAATGCCCACCAAACCCTTCCAGTATTTTCTGTTGGTCGTGGGAGTTCTGTGTGTCAAGTTTGGTTCAATTCCATTGCTGGTGGAGTTCAGAATGCTCTTTGATTGGAGGTGAACTATAAATCCCAGCAACTACAACTCCCAAATGACAAAATCAACCCCCCCCCCACCCCACCAGTATTCAAATTTGGGCATATTGGGTATTTGTGCCAAATTTGGTCCAGTGAATGAAAATCCATCTTGCATATCAGATATTTACATTACAATTTATAACAGTAGCAAAATTGCAGTTATGAAGTCGCAACGAAAATAATTTTATGGTTGGGGGGGGGGTCACTACAACATTAGGAAGGTTGAGAACCACTCGTGTAGATGCACCCTGAAACACCATATAATTTATACCTTTAGTCTCCCTTGTTACGGTCCTAAAGCAAGGATAGACGACGTGTACTTGCAATGCAGATATAGTCGGACTGCAATTCCCATTAGCCTTCATTATTTACTCTTGTTTGCTAATGGAGACAACTCCAACAACATTGGTGAGTTGCATGTGACTTAACTACTGGTACAATGTGATAGTTTGCATCCCTTAAACTGGAATGTAGCAGTTGGAGGAGATGCCCAAACATTTGCTAACAAGTTTCAACATGCACACCAGGCAGCAAAATCTTGTTGAATTAATTAAAAATATGACTCAGGAAACATACAACACATCACGCTTTATTTTAAACATGGGAGTTTATTATTTCAGTTTATGATTTCAGCTCATTCAGCTACATCCATAGATAATCTTCTTTACATTTATTTTCCAAAAGACCAATGTATGTTTGGACTAATTGCTCTAGACTTTCAGTTAACCAGAAAACAATCAATCAGAACCCTCAAGCAACAGGCAAAAACATAAAAGATTTTTTTTTGTCATGTCAGGAGCGACTTGAGAAACTCCAAGTTGCTTCTGGTGTGAGAGAATTGGCCGTCTGCAAGGACGTTGCCCAGGAGACGCCTGGATGATTTGATGTTTTTATCATCCTTGTGGGAGGCTTCTCTCATGTCCCCGCATGAGGAGCTGGAGCTGATAGAGGGAGCTCTTCCGCCTCTTCCAAGATTCGAACCTGCGACCTGTCGGTCTTCAGACCTGCCAGCACAGGGGTTTAACCCACTGCGCCACCAGGGGCTCCTATCAAAGAAATAACATTTAATTAAAATGCCATTTTTATAATATAGTAAAACAGTATATTAAACTTTATCTCTATTTTTCTTAATTTGCTTTTAAATACTGTATTTCAGTATCAATATCAAGTCAATACAGAGTTTATAATATGGTATGGTACATCTATTTTTAATAGTAACTCACAAGGAACTAGAAACTACATCTATCTAGCACAGTGTTTCTCAACCTGGGGGTCGGGACCCCTGGGTGGGGGTCACGAGGGAGGTGTCAGCGGGGTTGCCAAAGACCATCGGAAAACACAGTATTTTCTGTTGGTCATGGGGGTTCTGTGTGGGAAGTCTGGCCCAATTCTATCATTGGTGAGGTTCAGAATGCTTTTGATTTTAGGTGAACTATAAATCCCAGCAACTACAACTCCCAAATATCAAGGTCTATCTTCCCCCAAATGTACCAGTGTTCACATTTCGCCATACTGAGTATTCGTGCCAGCTTTGGTCCAGATCCATCATTGTTTGAGTCCACAGTGCTTTCTGGATGTAGGTGAACTACAACTCCAAAATTCAAGTTCAATGCCTACCAAACACTTCCAGTATTTTCTGTCGGTCATGGGAGTTCTGTGTGCCAAGTTTTGTTCAATTCCATCATTGATGGAGTTTAGTACGCTCTTTGATTGTAGGTGAACTACAAATCCCAGCAACTACAATTCCCAAATGATGAAATCAATCTTCCCCCAAACTCCACCAGTATTCAAATTTGGGCATATTGGGTATTTTTGCCAAATTTGGTCCAGTGAATGAAAATCCATCCTGAATACTAGATATTTACAATACGATTCCTAACATTAGCAAAATTAGAGTTATGAAGTACCAATTAATTTTATGGCTGGGGGCAGGCATGTAGCTGGGGGGGGGCTCGGGGGGCTTCACCCCCCCCCCCCAAATTCTCATGGAGGTTCGCGAAAAGGCCTTACTGGTGCATTATTTAAACTGTTATGTTTATTCATATCATGATCTGATAACTATACTCAATATATCCCATATGCATGAGGGTATTGGGGTAATGATACAAAAGGTTTGCTAGGGTAGACCCTCTTTCACTCAGACTCAGCCCCCCTCCCGAAACTCAGCCCCCCCCCGAACCCCCCTGAAAAAAATTCAGCCCCCCCCCCCCCGAAACGAAATCCTGGCTACGGGCCTGGTTGGGGGTCAACACAAGATGAAGAACTGTATTAAGAGGTTGTGGCATTCAGAAGGTTGAGAACCACTGATCTAGCATCTTCCAATACTCATGTGTGATGGTTAACTAAGAGTCTGCTGTATGTATTTCAACTGTCTTCTTCAAGCGCCACATACCATCAAATAGCAGAAATTCCCTTCCATTTACTAGACCAGAAAAGAAATGGCTAAGATCTCTTAAGTCCCAAGGAACACAGAAAATGAGACACAGCCCAGATCCAGGCCATAGAAGGCTTTAAAGGTCATCGCCAGAGTTTCAATTGTTTGGAGACGCAATGGCAACCAGCCCAGTTGTTGCAACAATGAGGTTCTGTGCTCCAGCGGTGACATAGGCAGGCATGAATTACGTGTGAAATGTAATTTACGTCTGCGCAATGTGCATGTCGCTAACAGGATGTTGGGCCTATGAGTACAAATGCCAGATACTCTGACGGAGGGGAAACATTCCATCCATTTTGCACTAAAAATTCTCTTCCGAAAAGATTTCCTGTCTCTCCAGATTATTTCTGATTGTTTTTATACTAATAGGAGCATCTCTATTGTAGAATTAACACATTTCAACTGCTATGGCTCTCAATGCTATACAAGGGTTGAATGAAAAGTAATGCCTCCACCTTCGTTACTTGGATTTGGATGGGAATATTTTAATAAATCAAACGCAGAAATAATCCTTAGAATGTGCTCTTTAACTATCACTATTCGCTTTTCCACATAATCATCAGACAATTGGATACATTTCTTCCAACAATGAATAAGTTTTCTGAAGCTGTCATAGAATCATAGAATCAAAGAGTTGGAAGAGACCTCATAGGCCATCCAGTCCAACCCCCTGCCAAGAAGCAGGAATATTGCATTCAAATCACCCCTGACAGATGGCCATCCAGCCTCTGTTTAAAAGCTTCCAATGAAGGAGCCTCCACCACACTCCGGGGCAGAGAGTTCCACTGCTGAACGGCTCTCACAATCAGGAAGTTCTTCCTCATGTTCAGGTGGAATCTCCTCTCTTGTAGTTTGAAGCCATTGTTCCGTCCTAGTCTCCAGGGAAGCAGAAAACAAGCTTGCTCCCTCCTCCCTGTGGCTTCCTCTCACATATTTATACATGGCTATCATATCCCCTCTCAGCCTTCTCTACTTCAGGCTAAACATGCCCAGCTCCTTAAGCCGCTCCTCATAGGGCTTGTTCTCCAGACCCTTTATCATTTTAGTCTCTCCTCTGGACACATTCTTCTTCGTCATGGAAGAAGTCGATACTCTGTTTTGGGTACCCATCGTGCACAGATCTTCCGATAGCCAAGCAAAGCAATAATGTGACCCACATGTCCTTGTGAAATGCTGATTATGCTTGAAATTTCCCTCTGAGTGATACGAGGATCGTCCTGAATCAGTAAGTCAACCTTTTGCTTGTGAAACGCAATGGTTGTTTTCACTGGACGTCCAACTATTTGTTTGTCACGCAAGTCAGATGTTCCCACCTCAACATCTTTAAACTTATTCACCCAATGACACACAGTACTCACATCAACACAATCACCATACACAGCTTGTATTCTCTGATGAATCTCCTTTGAGATGACACCTTCTGCTGTCAAGAATTCAATGACTGCACGTTGCTTAAGTCGCATTGACCGACCGTCTGCACAGGGTTCCATACTTGGCCTTTAACAACACAACTGTTCAATGCTAAGGCTTCCCACTAAAATGGAACTGTAGAGGAGAGTTTACTGAACAAACCAGTACCTGCTGCATACCAGTACTGCCATCTGTTGAGGAGCTACGAAGGTGGAGGCATTACTTTTCATTCAACCCTCGCAGATCAGGCATGGGGGCCAACTTGGGCCCTCCGGGTGTTTTGGACTTCAACTCCCACCATTCCTAACAGCCTACCGGCTGTTAGGAATGGTGGGAGTTGAAGTCCAAAACACTTGGAGGGCCCAAGTTGGCCCATAGCTGCTTATAGAACCATGGGAGTTGTAGTTTAACAAGGTCTTTAGCCTTCTATGCCAAAGAAGGCTGGTGCCTCACCAAACTACAACTCCCAGGACTCCATCGCATGGATCCAGGGCGTTTTAAGTGATGTCAGAGTGCACCTAAAGAAAGGGCACATTCTCATTCACACGAGACGCCCGTGACACGTGTCATGGCCTGGGCGGAGAAGGGCCTGCTTGAACGGTCTTCAATTGGGCCGTCGCTCCTCCTTCCAGGGAAACTGACCTCGCCATTGGCCAACACCAGGGCAGGCGAAGAGAGGCGGTGTTTGGTGCCCGAAATGGAGGACGAGGAAGAGGAGGAGGAAGCAAAGGAGGAAGAAGCGGCTTGGTTGCGCCCAGACTCTCCCTGCGGTGCTGCGAGGAATCCTCCCCCTGCCTGTAAAGACCCTCGACTCCTTTTAGCAGCCTGGGAGGAGGATTTGGGAGCCAAAGGCTCGTGGGAACCGAGGCAGGAAGGCACAGAAAGAGCGCACAGGAGGCGCCTGCATTTGTTTGGCTGATTGGCAACAAGCTTCCCTTTGTGTTGCCAATTAGCTTCCCTTTACACCTGGAACAGGCCTGCGCAAACTTTGGCCTTCCCTCCAGGCGCTCTGGACTTTAACTCCATACTAAATTGTGGGAGTTGTAGTCCAAAACATCTGGAGGGAAGGCCAAAGTTTGCCCAGGCCTGGTGTAGAATCAAGCCAGTTTGATGCCACTTCAACTGCCAGGGCTCATGCTATGGGAGTCTGTGATGTGTACGGTCAGGGATCTACTTTTGCTAAGGTTTGGCACAGGTTTTCATGGTCATTTAGTTCTTATGCCCCACACCCTAGCAAATGTGAACCTGCATCTTTAGAAGGGACTGTATCCCTACCCAGCGCTGGCTTGAGATGCTTGTCTGTCCTTAAGATAAAAAGCACACATCTGCATTTTAGATGGATTAGGAATCAGCAGTTTTCCCCTGTAATAGGCAGTAAGAACACCTAAAGCTTCAGAGAACTTCTGTTCAACCATTTCCAGAGTGACTCCCAGGTATTTGGGTGCGCTGCAATGCTCCAGTGGGATTCCTTCCCAGGTAATGCTCAGAGCTCAAGATGCTTGCCTGTTCTTAAAATGAAGCACACGTCTGGATTTTAGATGGATTAGGAATCGGCTGTTTTTTCCTGTAATAGGCAGTAAGAGCACCTAAAGCTTCGAGGAGCTTCTTTTCAACCATTTCAAAGCTCCCTGCTTGAGTGGTGATGGCATGATTGTCACATGTTGGCCCATGCCTGGTGTAGAATCAGTCCAGTTTGATGCCACTTCAACTGCCATGGCTCATGCTTTGGAAGTCTGTGATATGTACTGTTAGAGATCTACTTGTGCTAGGGTTTGGGACACAGGTTTTCACGTTCACCTGGGTCATACACCTCACACCCTAGGAAATGTGAACCTGCATCTTCAGAAGGGACTGTATCCCCAGTGCTGGCTTGAGATGCTTGTCTGTTCTTAAGATAAAAAGCACACATTTGCATTATAGATAGATCAGCTGTTTTTCCTGTAATAGGCAGCAAGAGCACCTAAAGCTTCTGAGAGCTTCTGTTCAACCATTTCAAAGCTCCCTGCTTGAGTGGTGATGGCATGATCGTCACATGTTGGCCCATGCCTGGTGTAGAATCAATCCAGTTTGATGTCACTTCAACTACCATGGCATATGCTATGGAAATCTGTGATGTGTGCGGTCAGGGATCTACTTTTGCTAGGGTTTGGAGCACAGATTTTCACATGCACCTAGATCTTATGCCCCGCACCCTAGCAAATGTGAACCTGCAGAGCGCAGTCCAGAGTGACTCCCAGGTATTTGGGTGTGCAGCAGTGCTCCATATAATCCTCAGAGCTCAAGATGCTTGTCTGTTCTTAAGATGAGAAGCACACGTCTGCCTTTTAGATGGATTTGGAATCAGCTGTTTTTCCCCCTGTAATAGGCAGTAAGAGCACCTAAAGCTTCGGAGAACTTCTGTTCAACCATTTCAAAGCTCCCTGCTTGAGTGGTGATGGCATGATCGTCACATGTTGGCCCATGCCTGGTGTAGAATCAATCCAGTTTGATGCCACTTCAACTACCATGGCTCATGCTATGGAAGTCTGTGATGTGTACTGTCAGGGATCTACTTGTACTGAGGTTTGGGATGCAGGTTTTCACGTTCACCTGGGTCTTATGCTTCGCACCCTAGCAAATGTGAACCTGCATCTTCAGAAGGGACTGTATCCCCATCCAGCGCTGGCTTCAGATGCTTGTCTGTTCTTAAGATAAAAAGCACACATCTACACTTTAGATGGATTAGGAATCAGCTGTTTTTCCCCCTGTAATAGGCAGTAAGAGCACCTAAAGCTTCCGAGAACTTCTGTTCAACCAATTCAAAGCTCCCTGCCTGAGTGGTGATGGCATGATCGTCACATGTTGGCCCATGCCTTGTGTAGAATCAATCCAGTTGATGATTCCATATGCTATGGAAATCTGTGATGTGTACAGTCAGGGATCTATTTTTGCTAGGGTTTGGGGCACAGATTTTCACAGGCACCTAGATATTATGCCCCACACCCTAGCAAATGTGAACCTGCAGAGCGTGGTCCAGAGTGACTCCCAGGTTTTTGGGTGTGTGACAATGCTCCAGTGGGATTCCTTCCCAAGTAATGCTCAGAGCTCAAGATGCTTGTCTGTTCTTAAGATGAAAAACACACGTCTGCATTTTAGATGGATTAGGAATCAGCTGGTTTTCCCTGTAATAGGCAGTAAGAGCACCTAATGCTTTGGAGAAATTCTGTTCAACCATTTCAAAGCTCCCTCCTTGAGTGGTGATGGCATGATCGTCAGCATAGATGAAACTCTCCTTCCCTTCTGGCAACCATTTCAAAGCTCCTTGCTTAAGTGGTGATGGCATGATCATCACATGTTGGCCCATGCCTTGTGTTGAATCAATCCAGTTTGATGCCACTTCAACTACCATGGCTCATGCTATGGAAGTCTGTGATGTGTACTGTCAGGGATCTACTTGTGCTGGGGTTTGGGACACAGGTTTTCACGTTCACCTGGGTCTTATGCCTCGCACCCTAGCAAATGTGAACCTGCGTTTTCAGAAGGGACTGTAACCACATCCAGAATTGGCTGAATTCCTATTCTCATCAGTCTGCCTTTTGACTGACCATGACTGCCTTGATCTTACCTGGATTAAGTTTCAATTTCTTCATACTCATCCAGTCTATTACTGATGACAGGTACTGGCTTGGATCCAAGTCAAAAGTAAGACAAATTGTGTTAGACTAAATCAGTCCTACAATATTATTTATTTATCATGTCAGAAGCAAGTTGAGGATACAATTAAAATGCATATAAAAAGACAAACAAGGTTAAACAAGGTTAAAAAAAACCTTGGCATTACACTAAATGTCCTTTGACCAGAAGCCGGTCACTTGGAGTGCCTCTGGTATTGCTGTAAGAAGGTCATCCATTGTAGGTAGTCTGTGGTTTGCTCTTCTCCATACCCGCATGTCGTGGACTCCACTTTGTAGGCCCATTTCTTAAGGTTATCTCTGCATCTCGTGGTATTAGGGAGCAGTCTATTCAGCACCTTCCAGGTCATCTTCTCTTCTATGTGCCCAGGAGGGAGTCACTCATTTGGTATCAGCAACTGATTGAGGTTCTGGGTTTTAGCCTGCCACTTTTGGACTCTTGCTTGCTGAGGTGTTCCTGCGAGTATCACTCTCGATCTCAGGAGGCTGTTTTTTATTTAAACCAATAGCATGCTGGGCCGGAAATGTCAATGCCTTGGTCCTTTCATTACTTTCTGATACTTTCCGACTGATGTCCAGTGGCGCAAAACCAGCTAAACTAGTGGTTCCCAACCTTTGGGTGTGATTTGGACTTCAACTCTCAGAAATCCCAGCCAGCTTACCAGCTGTTAGGAACTGTGGGAGGTGAGGCCCCAAACACCTGGAGGCCTAAAGGTTGAGAGCCACCTTTGAATTCCTATTCTCAGTCTGCCTTTTGATTAACCATGGCTGCCTTGATCTTACCTAGATTAAGTTTCAATTTCTTCATACTCATCCAGTCTATTACTGATGACAGGTACTGGCTTGGAACCAAGTCAAAAGTAAGACAAATTGTTTTAGACTAAAGCAGTCCTACACTGACTTTATTTTATCCTATTTTTTTTTTTAAAAAAACTTTGATTCCTTGTAGCACGGCTGCTAAGTCCAAAGAGTTTCTGAATCTCAATGGGTATTGCAGCTAGTGCCCATAAGGACTAATAGGGCAGGATGGTGGATACATGAGAAACCCAAGTTGATAGTAGTGCCACCAGATCTTTCTGGTTTGGTTTGCATTCTCTCTTGCAATGAGACCACAGTTGTTGTTGTTGTTTTGCGTTTGCAAGCAGGCTTTGACATACAGCAGCCCTTTTGAGTGTGGGAACTCCAGGAGCATCAGTTATCAATAAGCCTACTCTGGTGTTGCAAACGATGGCTTCATTTATTGAAACCATCCACCTCCACATTTGCAGATTTAAATTTTGTGTATTTGATTATTTACGCATTTGACAAATATCTTCTCTTTTTGTGGACTGATGGAAAATGACCATGGAGTTGCACTAGAAGACCAATAGATAATCTGGTTCAGGCCCAGGCTATTTGACTAATTGTATCTCCAACTATAAACCAACCTGGAGACTGTGGTCAGTGGAGGAGACCCTGCTCTCGGTCCCACCCCGATCCCAAGCATGGCTGGTGGGAACGAGAGAGAGAAAGGGTCTTCTTCGTGATCCCCCCCCCCCCACTCTGGAACACCCTCCCAAAGAAATAAAGATGGCCCCTTTTCTTCTCTCCTTCAAAAACAACTGAAAACCTACTTTTGCTCATTACCATACAGAGAAGAGGAGGATTAGACGAGGATATGCCGCTACTACACCTCTGATTGAGATCTGTTATTGTTCTCGGACTTTGTAGACCCTGTCAGCCTCATTAACATCACTGGCCACATAACCTACTTACATATTTTAGTGAACGTTTATTGGTCTCTGTAAATTGATGTGGATGTTTGATGTTCTTGTTTTAGGTTAAATATAATTTATCTGATAGGTTGCATTTTACTTAATTTTAGGTGTTATGTTATAATGTGTTTTTATACAGTATGTTGGGTTATTTTGCATTATTATGTTTGTATTTGTTGTTGTATTGAGGCATTGAATGTTGGCCTTTTTGATTGTTGGAATCTGCCCTGAGTTCCCTTGGGTTATTTTTAAAGGCTTATTTTTGTTGTTGTTGTTGTTGTTGTTGTTGTTGTTGTTGTTGTTGTTGTTGTTGTTGTTATATGGCAGTGTAGAAGGGGCCGCAGGTGAAGAATAGGGTTTTTTATTTGTAGTTTTTCCTGTTGACCAAAATCCCAATTAAAGTGGAGGCCTGCTGTATATCCATGTACAATAACCTGAGATTAGTTATTTGGCTTCTAGTGCCAGATCTGACTTGATTTCCTCACAGACTCATTCTTTGTCTTTCTGGCAATATTATATCTGTTGAAATTTCCTGTAGTATTACATTTTAGATGAACACAACTACTGTAGTTCAATCCCTTCACCCTAAATGTCTGAAGGGCAGTTTCTCATGTTGGTCCAAAAAGCTTCCACAATATTGTACTTACTTTTCTGTATTATTGAGGGAGGGATGAGAGTTATTACCCCCTTACTACCTCTTAGGTAGGTAACCTGTGTGTATTCTAGTCTTGGCATTTCAGTGCACAGTCTGCAATATACTGGTATACCTAGTGAGATATGAAGATTTGTGCGATTGGGTCATGGGTGGGAAAAGCATAGCCCATGGGTCACATACAGTCTTTGGGGCCCCAAATTGTGCCCTCTAAAGCATATAAAAGCCCGCCCACCCCCAAATTTAATTTGTAATTGGGGTGATTTCTGAACTATTACCTTTCATTGTAGCTTGTCATGGCAAATGGGTGTCAACAGAAGGCTCCCAGAACAGAATCATTGTGCATCTGGATTTGGACTGCTTTTATGCACAGGTGGAAATGATCTGCAACCCTGAATTAAAAGGCAAACCTTTAGGTAAGCTTACATTTTGTTGAATATTCTTCCAAAGGGCACCTCTGTCTTTCCAGGAGAATAATTATAGAATCATAGAGCCAGAGTTGGAAGGTACTCCCAAAGACCATTTAATACAGTGTTCCTCAACCTTCCTAATGCCGCGGCCCCTTAATACAGTTCCTTATGCTGTGGTGACCCCCCCCCCCCAAACCATAACATTATTTCTGTTGCTATTCTTTAGAACTGTAATTTTGCTACTGTTATGAATCATAATGTAAATATCTGATATGCCGGATGTATTTTCATTCACTGGACCAAATTTGGCAATATTATTATTAATAATAATAATAATAATAATAATAATAATACACTTTATTTATAACCTGCCACCATCTCCCCAAAGGGGATTTGGGGCGGCTAACATGAGGCCAAACCCAAAATACGCCCAAATTTGAATACTGGGGGATGATTTTTTCATTTGGGAGTTGTAGTTGCTAGGATTTATAGTTCACTCACAATCAAAGAGTGTTCTGAACCAACCATGGAATTGAACCAAACTTGGCACATAGAACTCCCATGACCAACAGAAAATACTGGAAGGGTTTGATGGGCATTGACCTTGACTTTTGGAGTTGTAGTTCACCTATATCCAGAGAGTAGGCCTGTCGGTTTTGTTTCGTTAATTCGTTATTTCGTATTTAATTCGTTTTTTTTTGCATATCCGACGCGATATCAAAACATATTTTCAAACCCGGAAGGGTTTGAAAATATCGAAACAGCAGCCCCATTTTTTTTACGAGCTTCAGCTCGTCTCGTAAATGGAATGGCGGCTGCTGTGCTGACTTCAGTGCTGTGGTCATGTGCTGGT